CTCTCTCTCTCTCTCTCTCTCTCTCTCTCTCTCAAAGCTAAATAAAATTTGAAAAAAATGAAAAATATTTTTTTAAATTTCGTTAAGAAAAAAACAAATTTAGGTATAAGAGTAATGATCCAATATGCTTTTCTATCTTCAGTTTCCTGGCCTTTCTTCTACAGTCAAATCCCTTTTTTATTTCTCTTCTAGCTTCTTCTTTCTTGGACTTACAATAGATTTCTAGTGAATGAGTGCAATGCACTTACTTGCTCCAGTATTCTGAAACATTTCTAGATAATCCCTAATTATCATAAAAGTGGAAGCCAAGTTTCCATTCAGATTTCTATTTTGGCCCCCTCCTTCCTTTCTCTTTCTATAGATCCATTCTATTCCTCCCTTCTCTGTCCCACTGCTCTGTGGGCACCAAAGGTAGAAAGGAAAGGAGCCGATTTTTCTTTGCTACTGCATTCACACAACAAACTTGTGTCTTAGTCTCCTGTTACACTAAGAATACAGAGAAACGAGGACTTCAGTAGTGTGATAATCCACACGTTTCTAAACCTACTGATGTTTTTCATTTCAAATGGGGCCAGTAATTCCATAAGAAGAGTCATGTCAAAAAATATTTGCCATCAGGACTCAAGAAGAAAATCCCTTTGGCCGAATCAAGTAGCCAATTCCTTCAGGTGCAAAATCAGGCTAAAAATACAACAGCTGTTGATGCTTTGTGATTGCTGAAGTGACCAGAAAAGAAGGCATTTACCTTGGTGGTTCATTTTCTCCTCTTTCTCTGAAAATCTAGGAAAAATATTTTGGTGGAAGAGTAATTTCAAAACTTACTAAACCTGGAAACAAGGGAGTTTAATTACTTATTCATGTGGAGAGAAGCCAGACAGGAGAGCCCAAAGAAGTAGACAGTAAACAGAAGTCTGTGAGTCATTTGTTAATGCTTAAATCTGAAAACCATGACTCTGATTATAACACGTTAAAAAGCCCACATTAGGACAAGGCAGTCACATGAGCCTTCTCTCTCTCTGAACTGATTCCTTTATCTTTAGTTTATTCTTGCCTTTCTGCTCTGCCAAATATCAAAGCCTTTGTTTCAACAAGTCTCGTAATCTTTGAGAAGTACTTCCCATGACTGCTCTCATCACAAACTCTTCTTCACAAAAAGAATTTTTGTTAAGTCACCTGTTAAATGACTGTGATAAACAGAATAATGGCCCCTAAAGATGTCTACATCCTAATCTCTGGAATTTGTGAATATGTTATATGGCAAGGGGGGATTAAGACTGCAGATGGAATTAAGGTTGCTAATCAACTGACTTTAAGACAAGGCAAGTAACTGGATTACCCAGGTGAGTTCAATGTAATCATAAGTTCCTTATAAGTGAGAGAGAAAGGAAGGAGATTCAGTGTCAGAATGATTCCATATGAGAAAGACTCAGAGGACTGGCCACCGCTGGCTCTAAAGATGGAAGGGAGTTTTGAACCAGGAAATGAGGGGAGACCTCTTGAAGCCGGAAAAGGCAAGAAAACAAATTCTTCACTAGAGCTTCCCTGCTGACACTTTGATTTGGGCCCAGTGAGACCTACTTCAGAAGTCTGACTTCCGGAAGGTAAGGTAACAGATTTGTGTTGTTTTGAGCTTCTAAGCTTTTGCAGTTTGTTACAGTGACAATTTATAAACAAAAGTTTATAAGAGTTGGGGAGAAAAAGACCTTAATTTTTATTATATTACTTAAAAACACCAGTTTGAACTGAGAAATTTTTAAAGTTTATTTTTTGGAAAGAGCAAAAGAGAGCACGAATGCGAGTGGGGCAGGGGCTGAGAGAGAAGGAGAGACAGAGAATCCCATGCAGCCTCCGCTGACAGCACAGATCCGTAGTGGGGCTCAATCTCAGGAAGATCATGCAAGATCATGACCTGAGCAAGATAATGAGCTGAGCCAGTATCAAGAGTCAGATGCTTAACCAGCATGCTGAGCTACCCAGGCACCCCTGAACTAAGAAATTTCTAAAATTAAAAGTGTTAACTCCCTGCCACCTGCCACTGCCCACATCTCCCTTTGGGTGGCCGCTATAGGGACTTGGGGGCTGCTTCTCAGGTTAGGACTGTGGACACCACACGAGGGGCATCAGGAACCAGGACCCTTAGAGGAAATTTAGTACATTCTCCAAAGCTGACTATTTTCTCAGCATCATTTCCAAACAGAATAATCATGTTGTTAATACCAAGTAACTGAAGGTTCCCTTTTTTCAAATAACTTAATTCTGAGTATGATTTTATAAAAACAAACAAACAAAACACTTGAGCGGCACCTGGGTGGCTCTGTTGATTGAATGTCCAACTTGGGCTCAGGTCATGATCTCACAGTTTGTGAGTTCAAGCCCCTCATGGGACTCACTGTTACCAGTGCAGAGCCTGCTTCGGATCTTTGTCTCCCACTCTCTCTGCTCCTCCCTCACTCTCTTTCTTCCTCTCTCTCTCTCTCTCACAAATAAATAAACACTAAAAAATTTTTTTAATAAAAAAAACACTTGAGAATATTTTTTTTATCCAAAATAACCCCGAATCTACATCCTAAGAAGTACACTACTTCATATGCCATCAGCTTGTGCTAATCAAGGCACAGGCGATCCATGCAATTAGTAGTGCTTTACAATGAACAACTAACTTCTGGTTTCTTCTTCACCTCCGGCCAGCTGCTCCCGGTTTTTCCTATTGCCGTAGTCCTTGCCGTCTGCCCTGGAAGGAGCAGGAAGGAGAGAAGACATAAAAGAAAACTACATCTGTCTCCTTTCTAATTAAGGTTTTATAACAGAAGACTTTGACACTTCCAATTTAGTTAGCAACAGAGGTAGCTAATGTGGCCAAACATAAAAGCTGGAATTGTCTGTAACAAAGGGCAAAAATATTTAAATATCAACAGTAAATTTTCCCTAAAATGAAAAGCCTTTATTATAAAAGTTACACGTTGGTTGGAAAAAAGCAAACAACTATATAGATGATTCACATTACATAAAATAAGTACTTCCGTTAATTTATTCATCCGTATTTGAAAATAGTTTTGTTTCAATCATGAATATGTTCCTTGGGATGTTTTTTTTTTTTTTT